TTGACTTCTGACTTCAAACTACCCTCACCCCATTGTATGCCGTATTCGACTACTTCACAGTACTCACCTCACCTTTTCCCACTTTTACATCTTTGAAACTCTCCTCTGTTCAACCTCCCCCTCTCGACTTGTTTCACTTTGATGTTCCTGCTCCTCTGTGAAGCCTGAAGTCAACTAAAGGGCTAATGATAACTTTCACAACGCCTGCCATTTGATATAAATAAAAAAGTTTGGAAGAACCCACTGTATTTGCTAAATATGACATGAAATTTCCACACAAAAAAGTAGAAATTATTAGCGCGAGATAGAGAAATTGCGATTCGATTCTGCCCGTTCAAGTGCCAATGGTTTTCGTCGAAAAGAGAAAAGAGTTACATATATAGAACCAGTAATGAAGTCAAACAACTGTCTTGAATTTAGAAAGAAATTTCAAACAGAAGATGGACAAGCTGGGAGCGAAATCCAACTCTTTCCAAATTCAAAGCAGCAAGAAATATCTATTTATTGCCATACGAAATCAAATTGGTCGATTTTCTTATCCCTACAATTTATTTGTATCTGCGAATTGCATAGATGGCTTTGGATAGAGATCGTTGAAAGAATAAATACCTACATTCTACTAGCATTTTATAATGAAATTTGATGTATTCTCTTGATTAATTTTTCGTTTCTAAAGGTAAAAAACCATAATTAATAACAAAATTGACTAACGCATATAACCTAAAAATGTGACAACTTTACGTGTTTATTATCTTCGTTATTTAATGCTTAGAATTTCGGATATTTGCTACAAGTAACTGAAAGTAAAAGTCATTACTGGGCGCAATTAAAAAAGGTCAATTCGGAGATTGGGGTTACTTGGGAGGTGTTCTAGGGCTACAACAATGACATCAATACCTATAAAATAAGTAGCGTTTAACCAGAGAAGACGAACCTAAAATTAGCTGTCTTGAACGAATACAATCAGTATTCAAGAAGCTTGTCACAGACTGTTAATTGGCGACCATATTACCTAAATGGGTACTTTATAGCTATTTGAAACAAACCAAAAAGGAAGCTGGTTTTGAATTTACCGGACTGTTCTGAAATGCACCTGAGTAGGTGTCTATAGTAGTACATATTTGATTGGGATTGGCATTTATTTTAATAAGCCAAAATTAGTATAAATTTTCAATGATAAGTGCTGAACTACAATGGATATGAGGAGGGAGGGGGGGGGGGGGTAGAAAGAGAAAATCAATCCAAATAAAGGATTCATTTCAAAATTCCATCCACTTCTAACCATAGACTTCAATTAATAGAATGGGCAGAATGGTCAGATGACAGGAGGGAGATGCAGAGAAAACCAAAAAAACTTCTTAATAACACTTGGGGCAATAATCAGCGAAAGAAATGGACACCATCTAAATTTCTATCTAATTATCATGCTAAATCGAGAACATGCAAATAACTTACTGGAACCGAACCTCCTTAGCAAAAAACTGTTAAATAAAAAAATTTAATGAGGGCCATAATTTAGTTAGAATCACACAAATATCAAAACTAACTGGAAGAGAGATCTCCCGAAATCGACAACGAGGGTGGAGGAGAAAGAGGCGTAGGAGGAGCAGTTAGAACTTTTCTCGGTATCGTCGGTGTCTCTACCCCGGTAAAGTTGAAACTGACTTGCCGCAGCAACGGCCGTGAACGAGGAGACAAGATTGAATTGTCTATTTCCCCATTACCCGACGACTCATCCTCTCCGTCTCTTTCATTCGGCAAAGAGTTGATACGGGAAATCCGTGAAAGAGGAAGAGTTGGGAGAGTGGCGTATTTTGTGCTCGAGGGTGAATGGGAGGAAGGAGGAGAGAGATCGTAGCCTTCATTTAAAAGACGCTCTCTGTCCAGACGACGAATTGTGTGTTGGCTTTGAGATAGACAGCCCTCGAAGAGCTCTCGAGTTATGCCCAGAGGGTTGCCGATTATCATATGCCAGACCTGAAGACAATAAATAACAGTCAGAAATTGTTATGCTAGTGGTGGCGACCAAACAATACTAAATAGAAAATCAATACGCTTCAAGTTAATTAATCATTGAAAGAAATCTACTTAGCACTGTAAGAGTCTAATTGATAGATTCGTTGCACTCGAGAGAAACTCGCAATCCTCATTTCACATGTACTTAATCGTCGATTAGATTGACTCCCCACGATCACATATAAGACCGCATGTAGGGATGCTGTCGATGCAATCAGTAGAAAATTAAGCAGCAAATCATTCATCACCTATTCAAGCCGATATAGGTTAAGCTTTAAGCCTTTCATTTTCCCCTAAATTGAGTTTGAGTTGCTTTGTATACTTTCGTCAAAGTTACCCTTAGCATGAAAATTCAAAGCGACTGCTCCTAGTAGAATTTCATCTTTGACGCAACTCTAAAAATTTAAACGAGAGAAAAGTGGTTTGAAATTGTTCATACATTGAGCAGACCATACATTAATGTGTTGCGAATGCTCAGATCAGGATACAGCAAAGAGACCTCCGTCAGGAGATGGTAGAAGTAAGCAGATAGAGCGAAATGACGCGTACCAAAAAGAGATATGGGGAAGTGGGGGGGGGGGGGGGGGGGGGGGGGGGGGGAGGGNGGGGTGGAGCAGCAACATAACAAATCCAAAAAAGTCTTAAAGGTTATGTCACAGGTTTAGTAAGCTTTTCGTTGGTTGCTACACCCACTTAAATCTTTCTGCTGACGTAATTCAACTTAGAGAATAGAAATAATCGAAATGCAGGAATTGATTTCCCGTTTTTGAAAGCGGTGATTATGAAAAAATGTTTATTTGAGATTAAAGGATAATAATGGTGCACAATTCTCCATAAAGTGGAGATGTGGTGTGGGACTATGCGGCTTCATTTATCACCATCAATCGAAAGTGAGTGATAACCACAAGAACACAAACATGTACATATTAGTAACTCGTAAAGATACACTTTATTTGATTCCAAAAGAGCAAATTCGTGCCTACTAAAACCAAAAGACCACAGCTAATTAGAATTAGATGGCCTTTGGAAAGCAGAAATTTCAATTATGCGACAATTGGCATAGTTGATAAACTTGGCATCAAGAGAAGGTAACAGAAAACCATAAATACACAATACGTACTAGCACAAGCTGAAGTAGAGAAAAGTACAGCGGTATATTTGTATAGCAAAATGGCCTTTAAGAGAACACAGGAATATTGGTGGCTTTTCAATACAAACGAAAATAAAAATGCATTAATGAGATTGCATGGGGGTGCAAAAACGCGAATGAAAGAAGTTAAAAAGATAACACTAACCATGATGATAATTTTCTCTGTAAATTGAACAAGAGCATTGACCGACTAATAAACCTCTGATTACACACATCCAAGAAACGAATCTGCTATTATAATTTTTGAAAGACGGCAAAGTTTCGCTGTAAGTAAATCAATCTCCTTTAAGTGAAAATCAACTGACCCAAAAAATCGCAACTTAGGTAAAAGAAGGTTCTTATATTTCCCATCCACCCTTTATTTGAATTATCCTACTGGCTAAAATTCCCTCCATTATTAAAAAAATGTAAAGCTTGTTGAAAATATACAGAGAGGTTGAACTACATCTATATTAACAATGGGATGTGGGGTGAGCGATAGACTTACCTCCACGTGGTGCATCCTGGGCAACGGATACTCCTACGGCAAAAGTCTATTATTCGGCAGTTGACATCTGACTTCAAACTACAATCCCCCCACCGTATGTCATATTCCACCACTTTCACAGTACTCACCTTACCTTTTCTCTGCCCTCGTGTCTAACTGTCCTTTTTACATTTGTGAATCATTATTTTATCCCTCTCCCTTTCGACTTGTTTCACTTTGATGTTCCTCCTCCTCTCTCGACTTGTTTCACTTTGATGTTCCTCCTCCTCTCTGTAAATCCCGAAGTCAGCTAAAGGACCAATGATAACTATCAAAACGCCTACCGTTTGAAATAAATAAATAAATGAATATTAACTATGTACATAGTTCACTATTTTTGATCATAACAGTGCAGAAAACGTTTCACAAAAAAATTGTGAAAACATCTGAACGGGGAAGAGAGTCGAAGAGAAACAACAAATGAAGTGAGTGACAATTCATCAGAGCATGAACAACTAAGAGCTTAAAGTGTGCTCAAAAGATTAAATTTCAGTTTGTAAAAAACAAACAGTAACCCGCAATGAGAAACTAAATTTATTATTTACAGTTAATGAGATTCAAGGAGCAATTATAATTTTCAACCATGAAGTAAATAGCCGAAATGCGAACCATATAAGCTAACCGAATAAAGTTAGCAATAGAAAATAAGAGATAACATAAAGAACCAACAGACATACCTGACATCGAAGTGAAGAAGGAATGCCATACCACCAGTCAGTATGAAGTGTTTTGCTTTGGAGTGCGGTATCCCAGTTAGGAATAACCTCGTCACGCCAATAATTAAGTCGATTTTCTGCCTTTTCGGCATCAGCATTACGCTTCTCATGTTCCGCTCGAATCCGCACCAGATTTTCCCGATCTGTTTATCAAAATAAAATTATTGTGAAAATCAAAATAAAAAAGATTCGTAAGACCTCACGTTTCTTAGTTATGTTCTGCATAATTTTATCACATTCAACTTGATGTCGCCTTGCTTCATGAGGATCTTTTTTAGGAAGTTCACTAAAATGGGAAAAATGAATAGATATAATTAAAAATTAGAGCATTTACCTTGGTCTGTCATACGCGTGAAGAAAAGTCGTCGATGGAAAGAAACTATTCACTGAGGTAGAAGGCGATAAACTGAAAAATTTAATTTAAGGTAAAGATAATAAATACACATAAATCACAAAAGCGATCTGTGTATGGTTGTTTATTTAAGAAAATCTACTAATTAAAATGTCGGCGAATAATAAGAAATTCAACGGAAATATTATAATACAGCAGTAAATCTAACTTTAACCCAGAATCGATAAGGACCGGATTAGGACCCAAATGTGCAGAGGTGGCTTTACGAAAATCAAATTCTGGAGCAGATACATATCGTTGAAGACTTTGAGAGCCTGGCGACTTTAAAATAACATCGTCTTGAGAATAAGATAAATCCCCACTTTCATAGGTACAACGACCATCACCTTCTAGCATCACAAGTCTAAAAGTGGGCGTATGGTTAGCAGAGTTGATGCACCACAAGGTCATTGCTGATGTTCTAAAATAAATCGCGAATATTTTCTAAAATAAAGCTTAAAAATTTTTTAGAGCGTAGACTTATAAATGTTGCAAATAAACATGTATTTTATGCTTATTTGCTTAATAAATAATAATATTTTTTAAATCTTTTTTTACTAAATTCGTCTTATGATTAAAAAATATGTGCTCGTAATTTTTCATTGTGAAGGTCAACAGAAGGTACGCTGGAACTTCTTTAAACAGCTTTTGTCGTACGGTTATGTTCACTTATCCAACAATGAGTAATCGTAACTCTATTTTATCGCTCCGAAAAGATATTAACCCAAAAATATTGGTAATAATCTAAATTCGTGCAAAATTTTTAGATTTCTCATATGAAAAAATGCATTAATTCCCAAGAATCTCCACCAAAACCAAAACATGTCAGAGCCATTGTTTTGGAAACACATCAGCAGAAGTCAACTGCATTTTTATTTTCAGCTATACATGATCTTCCAGTTTTAACGAATCAAGTTGCATGCTGGAAGTTTCTCATCGTTTTTCATAAAGTTATGCGTAGTGGTTATAGAGAAGTTAGATTAAATTACCCTTTCAAACCCTTTCATAGGCGATTCGTTTTATGCCAAAGAAAATAACTGCTTTTGAGGAAATTAAAAGGACTTGGGTGAGAGAATAATTTTTACTACATTTTTAGCTTGCTTTTTCAGGTCAATTCAGTCCATTGATAACTCAATTTTGTTCCGTTATAATCAAAAAATTTGGATTTCATCGAACTGTAAATAGAATATTTATTATCACTTTTTGGCTTAGTATCCAACCATTCGTGGCGATTTAGAAATTTCTCAACAAGATATTATGCTTTCGATTGGACGAACTCCAGAAAGCTTGTGAGATGTCTGTTCACTTAATTTATATTTCCTATCTTAGAAATGCTTTTGCCGTAGCACTGCTGGATTACTTTGAAAATTTGCTGAATTTTCAATCTGTTGTTCTGGGAACAATTGATCGCAGCGAAAGCTCATCATCAGTCTCCAATCAGTGTCGTCTTGCCGCCCTTACTCAATGTATTCAAGATTGTGCTACTCTTTACGATATGTCACTAAAAGCGCTCATTAAACTGCATGCTCTACTGCCTCCTGAATCGTTGGCTTCTTCACGAGATCGCTTCTACAGATTGTATACTCTTCTTGAACGATTCTTTCTTCGCGCTAATACTTTCGCCTACATTCGCGACGTCTTAAAGATCCCTTCGCTTCCAAGTGTACTTTGCTTGCAGACTTATCTTTATCTAATATTTAGGTTCAACCAAACTTATTGGATACTGGGAATGGAGTTCAAAGCATTGGAGTTGTTGAAATTCGCGAAGATGAAGTACCAAATCTGCTTATTGATTTGACATCCGAGGTAAAACAAACAATATTTTATCGTTCAATGCGTAACTAATACTCTTCCTCTATGAATTCGAAATCCTACTTACCGTCTTTAACTTTAGCGTCATTAATGGCAATATTTCGGAACTTACTAATCTCTTAAGGCCACATTTTTCTTATTACTAATAAATTATTTGCATCGAATATTTATTTTTAATAATACTATTATTTGTATACTTTCTGTATTATTTTAAATCTAGTACGTAAATCTGGAACAGGGGTCATTGAAGGGTGAAGACGTAGATGCCATATTTGGTGTATCACCAGAGACTCGTTCTTCCAGCGCATTCCGTGCCCCTACGTAAGCTATTGTTCCCCTATTGCTAATGTATAAAATAACAAATTTTAATTTTTTAATACAGAAATAGTTATGGGAGTATTAAGATAAAAAAACTCTATTTTATATGGTCAATTTTTATCTAAATGGATGGTTGATAGAATGGGAGATCATAGTAGGGTACCTCTCACCTTCCACCTATCTCTGTCTTTTATTAACAGTTTCCTGTTTTGAGAAATAGTAAAAATTCAAATATTTATACTCTTTATTTTATTTTCCCTTTTTAATGTATTTTGAAAGTATATGAAGAGCTTCAGATTGTGTGTTGAATTATGGACTAAGTTAGAATATACTTGTGTTGAGATAAGAATTACATTTTGGAATCTTAAGGACTGTTAGGTGGGTAAAAGCGATGAAATTTAAAATTTTTCAATAAATTCAAAATTAGTCAAACTTCTTCTCTTGTGTCTTTAAAGGAAAACTCTAGATATAAATCAATTTTAGTTCTAAAACCGCAGTTCTCGGTTGAGTGGGTTGAAAATATATTTAGTCTCAATTTTATTGTATCTTTTGCCCTGATTTCTTTTAGACTTATAGGACTTATTAAAATTCGTAAACTGCAGGAGCCGTTTAACTCTTCAGTCCATTCAAATATCCAATTTTTTAATACTAATATTCTGTCAAGCAAAATACTTGAGTTGATGGTTCCTTTAGTGATTATTGAACATAACGCAATGAGCAATTCCAGGTGTGTATTATTTATTTATTATATTTTTACTTTTTGTGCTTTAGGACGAGCAATGAAGCTCATGAAGTTGAAACTCTTCGAGCAGAAATGCAACGAATTCAGATGGAGGTATGAAATACTGCAATTCTTCTCTTCACGAAATTTATCTATTTGAATACCCTAGGAAAGGTGCTTCTGTAGTCTTGGATGTAAACTACACAATTTAATTTGCTTGAGCGCTTTTTGGCTAAATGACAACCTATATATTTCGCTATTCAGATGGCATCATGTCCACACCAAACCCCCTATCCATCATTTTAATGAAAATGCGAGGAACTTGAATCGAATAGTTAAACACAAACGGAAAAAATAATAAACGGAAATACAAAATAATGATTTGACTAGTCTTCGTGAGTTTTTCTAAACCAATTTTACTTGAAAGCCTTGTCAAAGTTCAATCCGCTACAGTCCCACTTAAGTTGGAAGTTCAGGCCGATCGTGTGTGTGTACGATTTGGATGCTGTACTAGCAAAGTAAATAAAATTTAACTTTGTGCACATGTTTGTTGAACCCTGTCACAATTGTACTATCGATTTGTTTCCTCAATGACAATTTACCATTGAGATAGTAGCTAAGCGACAAAAATATCTGAACGCCATATTTAAAGCTCGTCTTTTAATATCATTCGAAGGGCCGAAAGGCGTCCTTTAGCTGACCTCAAATTATGCTATCACATAATTGCTTGTATTTTAACACTTCATTGTCTTTTACTTAACTTCAGAAATCCATTACCCAGGATCAACTTGTTGAACGTATACGAACAATGGAAAATGAGACCAAAGCATTGATTGATGTCAAATTTCGACAAGATGATGTTAGTTTCTCTTAATCGTTTTTATTTTTTCCCCTTGTGAACCTCAGCAGCGTTAAAGATCACAGGGAACGTCGATGCCTTACCAAGCTGATAATTTAGACTGGTATCTAATGAATTCAAATTTCTCCACGGTGGAAGTTCGCTCTACTCAAAATGAGTGAATTATACATTTTATTATTTCTCCCTCCCATTAAAGAGGGCCTTGCTGAAAAGTATTTGATAATTCTTTGACTGTTTCTACTCGAATCTCCCCCATTAAAAGTTCACAGCATTAGTAAAGCTAATTAGGGTTTTCCATAATAATTACCATGGGTGGTCAAGAAATGAGAGGCTGATGGAATGTTCAACACCGTGTTCCATGAATTGATACATCGATAAATTCTCTATTGGATCGTTGTCCACGCTTAATTGAAGGAAAGCAATGTTTCTCTTTGTAACATAGTATTTAGATGGTAACGTGATTTTCCATGATTTCATTTGATGCAAGATACAAATTATTAAAATTGGAATCAAAATATTCCATGTGAATGAACACGAACGTTTGTTTGAGTGGGTTATAAAGCTACCTTTTATGGAAGCCAATTTAACAAAATTCGAGAAACCTTGTCGATTAAAACACTCAATGACTTAATACCAACATAATTATTTTAATTGCTTATAATTGGCACGTTTTCATGTCGTAAAATGTCAAGTCATAAATATAACCTATCAGAAACCGTCTACGAAATATCAAGTTGAGAACGAACTGCGACTTGAATATATCATTGTATACACTGTTAAGCAATGAACGGACTATTAAGTTAAGAGCGTTCATCATCAAGACAGGCCTCTACTACGTCCATATTTCGGCTGTCTAGGCACTTCTGTAAACTCTTTGGTCTACTCGATATGATTGGACTTGGGATTTCAGACTGGATAATTCCATTTCATATGTTGACTTTGTCTCATTTTTTCAACTTTTTAGCAATTAACTCGTTTGGTTGAAGAGGTGAAAGCACAAACCGCACTTGCAGCAGCCAATGAAGAGAAATTTATCAAATTCCGGGATGCTTATGGCAAGTTACGTGGAGACTACATTGGTCTACTTCAACAGGTACTTTTTAATTCTTCTGTTCTTCAATCGTATTCTGATATTCCATTAATGCATTTTCGAACCCCTTTTGTCTAACATGACATTTTAAAATACCATGATTTCATGTGAGATTGTTGAAGTATTTATGTGCAACAACCGGGGTAAAAGCACTCATTATACTATAATGTGAGTTTCGATCTTAACTTCTTACACCAAAATAAGCAATTGATCTTTTTATTTATATCAAGGGGCACGCGTTTTGATGGATATCATTAGGCCTTTAGTTGACTTCAGGCTTCACAGAGGGGAAGGAACATCAAAGTGAAAAATGTCGGGAGGGGGGGGGCACGGAAGTGTTTCAAAGACGAAGATAGAAAAGTTAGAACAAAAGGTGAGGTGAGTACTGCGGAAGTAGTCGAATATGACATACGGCGGGGTGATGGTAGTTTGAGGTGAGAAGTCAACCGCCGGTTGATAGACTTTTTTGCCTTATGAGTATACGTTGCTCAGGGGGCACCACGTGGAGGTAAGTCTATCGCACACCCCAGCAAGTGATCTTGTATGCAGGGTATGTTAATTTGAATTCTGACAGATTTTCAATATTCAAAACTTTGGCTTGTGCCGGTGTGCATAGTTGTTACATTACACCACAAAATGAAGGCGAACGAACGAACGTTTCCTGATCCACTAGTATTGCAAAGGTTAAAAGGAGGCTCTAGTCAACTGTTCTAATGAGCAAACTGGATATACTTCTCGAAGGGCCATTATAGTTAGTATACAACATTTCAGAAAGTTCACTCATTGAGCTTCAACAGAGTCTGACGTCTATAGTATTCCTCATCAAAATTACACGTGTCTAGCTGCTACCTTCAATATTTTTACAGATTTCAAACGTATATGAATGTTAAATTTAGTAATTTACATATTAGTTGAATGTCATGTTTTTCTTTCCCATTTTTTTCGTGTCAATTGCTTTGTTTTGGGAAAAAGGTTGCTTTAAGAATACAGTAACAGAGACACTTTTTGTTTGTTTTTTTTCTTTTCAAGAGAGGCAGTGTATTTCCTTTTGTTTTAGTAACAGCCTAATTAAGTTTTCATCAAATGCCCTTTTACACGATTATCGATTCAGCGTGCTAATGTTTGTCAGGGTTGCATACTTCTTATTGATCGAAAATGCATTGCTAACAGCAAACCTTTGGGTTGATATATCATGCCTCCATACTGATTAGACCCCGATGAGTATGTCAGAAATATTTCCTGCAAAATAAATAATAGCTGCAAATAAAATAATTGCATTATCATTTTTTACATTACTATATATATAGTTGATATTTTAGTATAGCAAGCGGCTTCCAAGTGCCTAAGATATTTTTGCTGTCATGGCGTATTTTGTAAGTATAAGTATAGCCCCATTTTTTGCCGAAAAGAGTGTCCAAGTTATTTAATCAATGTAACTTTAAACGCTGTTTCACACAAGTGCTTTCAGACTGTTTACAAGTGCGCAAGTGTCCGTAACATCGTCCAACTCTGTGTGGTCACCATTGGTATCGATTGGCATACTTTAATTAAGTAAATTATCGACGATGCTTGAACTGAAGAACTTTGTTTACTGATCGAGGACACTCAGTGTGTTTTCTTTCTTTCATTTTCAATATGTATGTACATATTGAATTGATTTCATTTAAGCATTCATTGAGTCAGTACGGTGAACGTTGGGGCTAGTAAAATACAAACATTTTGACAAAGCTAATCAAGCTTGTATAACTAAGTGAGGTTGGGGGGGGGGGGGGGGGGGGGGGGGAGGGGGTTGGGTATACACAAGCGCGTGAACTCAGTGTAGTTTCAACAAACAAGGTAAAAAAGTTGAGTAATCAAATAAACTTGAAAGGAGCATGATTAAGAATGCAAGGATACTGCAACAAGAGCCGGATTGCAACTGAAATTGTGCCAATGACAACTTAATAGATTTGGTGACGATCATTTTAGTGTGATCGATCTATCATATCAGAAACATTATATCTAACTTCTACCTAAAGGCAATTCAAACAATGATACCTAACTGCCTCTGGTTAAAAGTGGACCATCACAGAGAGAAAAATTATGCTTTTACCCTATAGCAGATATCACTCTTCTACTATCTTAACGATCATCAGCGATTTTAAGCATTCATTTTTAATTGGTTTAGGCCTTACAGAAGATAAAGGTGTTTTAAAGGCCATATGTCAGAATGTCATTCCCCATTAATTGCAATATTAGTCTATCTTTAAGATGTCTTCGAGGTGATGCATTGCGTAAATTGATAATGCAGGTAAAAAAGAAGAATTCTGCTTTTCCAAACTGAAATGAACAGTGAATAGGTAAATTTCTCGAATACTGGGAATCAAATCTTCTTATATACTTATTTATTTACTTCAAATGGCGGGCTTTATGACACTTATCATTAGCCCCTTAGCTGACTTCGGACTTCACAGAGGGGAGGAACATTAAAGTGAGAAAATGTGGAGAGGGGGGAATAGAAGAGTGATTCAAAGATATTAGAGACAGAAAGACATATAGGCAGAGAAAAGGTAAGATTAGTGCGGTGGAAGTGGTCGAATATGACATACAGTGGAGTCATGACAATTTGAAGTCAGAAGTCAACTGCCGGTTTATAGACATTTTTGCCATACGAGAATGCGCTGCCCAGGGTGCACCACATGGAGGTAAGTCTATCGCACCCCTCTTGTATACTTATAATTTTGAGTCCGCTGACTAAGTGTAATAACGCGTATTATATTTAATAATAAAAAAGTATTTTTTTTCTAAGTTCTATTGAAATGTTGAAGTTTATTGCGATTATTTGCATAGACCATTCACACGTTGTTTTTCGTTTCAGATGGAGTCAGTCGAAAATAGTAATGAAATGAAGGTAGGTGGAAGAACTTTGATATTCGCGAATGCTTATTTATTTGTTTGAATTTCAATTAATTATTTATACAATGAAGTTAATGAATCTCTAGGGGAGGGGGGGGGGAGGGTAAGGAAGCTGGTAGTGGAAGAAATCGTCGACAAAGTAATGTATGATTATGTTTTAGAATTCGAGTTCCGTAAAAACGACTTCTTGATTGAGCTTCGGGGTTGAATTTTAGCAATAATCGCTATTCAAACATTTATTTGTGATTGCGTGAGCAAATTAGTACGACAGTTTCAACATTAACAAAATAAATCAAGCGAAAAGTCTAAAATGATGATCTTGACTTCTGTCTAATCAATAGGAGGATGGTTACACTTTGAGTTGTGTGGCGTTTGGCGGTGGGGTGCATGTGATTTATGTTAAATCCTGCTCGTTAAGTAAAACGCCTCATCACATGCCAAAAAAGATAACATCATTCGTTCTTTTTCACTATTGCGTAATTTCTTTTATTGTAGCAAAGACTTATGCAATTGGAATCGGAGCAGGTTACATGGCAGGATACGAAGCAGCAGTTGGAAAAGCAATTGGCTGATGCTCGGTTGTCACTGGAGGCGGCGGAATCAAAGTCAGCTAGTCTGACAGGTCAATTAGAAAGTTCTCGAAAGATCGCTGAACGGGAAACATGTGACCTTCTGCTCAAAGCCGCATGCGTGAAGGCTAAACAGGATGTGAATTCAATCATCACTCTAATGAACAACTCAGAATTTGTCCAGTGTCGCAGTTGTGCTGGTAAGTACAGAAATGCTACTGAACCTTATCAACAATAGTAATATGGGATTCAAATGACTCCTTTACACCATCCAGACGTGGTCAATCAGTTCATCAAAAGTGCCAATGCAGAAGTTATGAGATTAAAGGACATAATCTCAGACAGAGAGGGCAAAGGTTCGTGGCTACCCTACGTATATTACGTAATATTCTATTGGTCGACTTTAATAATGTTATCATTTGTAGATTTTGCCAAGCTACCTCTGAATATTGCTCACCTTTCCTCATGTCTCAATGCTAGCGCTCTTCATGCAAAAGCTATTGCCAATTCTGCTGCAGATATTGTTAAATCTGACGGTAAAGTAGATACTTGAAGTTTATCGTTTTTCCATTAAGTTATGCTGTTCCTTGTTTCCACCCGGTTGCCAGTGCATCTTAGCAACATCTGTTGTCACATGTTATTAGACAATGTTAGACATGAGATATGTAATTGGAAAATTGAAAAGTACGTCTTTAATTCATGAGTCAAGTCATGGCAGGAGATGCTAATTGAATAACAGCTACTTCAAAGAATAAGGGCATAAAGATTATGGTCCCCTCAGGACGAATAAGAAATGTTGAGTTGCTACCAAATTTGACAGACCTAAAAGAAATGTAATTGCTAATGAGATCACAATATCGTGAAAGTTTTACACAAAATAGTCACCAGAGGCAGACATTTATAAACAGGGGTATTAGAGTAAGGTATTCCCACAGAGTTGCTTGTATTAAGGTGGTCCTTTGTGAATATTGAAAGGTAAATTAATTGTAAATTTTTATTTAAAAGTGGTAAATACAGAATGCTGCGAATAATAACCTACTGGAAATTTAATACTTCAAGGTAAGTGTTCATTGTGGTCTACGATGCACAACTCAGCACGTCCCAGCATGCTTCTGCGACTTCATTTTAGTGTAATTCACAACTGTATTAAGAATGTTCTTTTTTTCAATTCCTCGTCGTCGTTTTGCCTCGTCCATAGTAACGATGCTGGCATCATCCCTACTTTGTACGCTCGTATATGTAACCGCTTTAGCATGTTCTGACTCGACGTCCATTTGATGCCTAGTTAGGAGAATGGACGTCTGTTTGATTACCGTGAACGTCTTGGCAGAGTCTCGTATGTCGAATATTTTCGGTTAACAAACTCCAGGTACATAGTTACGTTTTAGTAGTCATTTTCAGGCTGCCACCTAGCATAAGCTGATATTCTCTGCATATTTTTTGGTGAACCTCTCATTTAGCCCTAGATATTTTTCAATTATAACTTCTCTTTGTTCGATTGAAAACGATTTTCTGAAGGACTGTGTCCACAACCGTAGTTAACGCGTGACAACGAAACACTGAGTAATGCATAGCTAACTATAGGATATCCTGTGAGCCCGTGCAGGAGATCGAAATCACCTTTACTACTTTACAATACACACTGCGCACTTCACTGGCTAAACGACTGGGAAAGTGGGCTGGCTGTTTGGAAACAATTGGAAAGAAATGAAGTAGACGAGAGGAGAATTTCTATGTATAAAGCCCATTTGAATCTCCCTAGGAACTTATATACTTACCAATGCTTGTGAAATACAAATGTCTTTCAATTGCGATAGCTATTCCATTTACATCAAACTGTCAGAAAAGCTTAAGCTTTAGCACTGTAATAACGATCAACAATTTCCAGCTCACGAAGATGTCCACAATTATTGTATTTTAGGGTGAGTCAGATCATTCATTTAAGAATGACTTGATCTGCTTGAATGAATAGGCGATTACTGTTAGGCAATTTCGATGTAAGTATAAAGATTTACAAGGAAAGTTTGTAAATTTTCATCAGGCTTATCAATGTTAATTGGCAAGTTAGTGATTAATGAATGTTAGGTAGCCACCTTTTCGAATTTAAATACCTTATCCTGACCTGTTCTGTAGCGGATTGCTACCTTAGTAAAGCCTGACTGACTCAGAAATCTCTATGGCAAATTCTCCAACATCTAGCTAGACTCCCAGAACCAGCTAAGCTATAGCCCAGCTATAAAGGAAACAGACATGTAGCACGGAGCACGTTTATTCAATACGTATATCACGGATAAAGTGTTTACAGGAAGGAAACCAGTCATACAACATGGCGGATTTGATAAAACAAATGAGGGTCATTGAGCTGCTATTGGCTGCGTGCTCTTGTCCTCAATCAGTACGCGAAGTTGTACGGCCGCACCTCAAGCCTATGTGTACACGCATGCGATGACGTGTCCCACAGTTCCATTTCTCGTAATCTCAACGTTTCAGGTACTTAAAATCAATTATATCAGATAACGGATACATAATATTGTTTTCTGTTTTCACATAGTATCTTTATATTATTCAAGTGTCCTTAAGTATATTTTATCATTTATTTTAGTTGGTAAATATCCTTGTGCTGTAAGTGAAAGATCCAGTTACATGATTGGAATTTCAATCCATCGTATATTTATTTGATTTAATATGTACATAATAGCTCTTGAAGTCAATATACAATTTTCAGTAAGAAAAATATTTATTATTCAGTTCAAAAAGTGTTAATACTAGTTGTCGTGTGTTTTTGATGATATTGCTGATATTTTTCTCGAAGATCTTTGTTTATACTATTAAAAAGGATTATCGTGATTTCGATTTATATTTTGCTGAATAGAATTTAAAATTTGCTATAAGGCGTAAATTTAATGAATAGAATCGAAATCCATGTGTAAGACCTTCCTAAAACGGTTCGAATTGCGTGATATGCTTGTGTAATTTCAATATAAATATATTAGGATGGCAACTAAGTCATTGCCGATTTCAAATAAGAAGGCAAATTCGGAATTTTTGTTTAAAAATATAACTTTATTCAATTAGATATTGGCCGTTCTTGTCGATGACCTTATTCCATCGTTCTGGCAGGGTAAAAATTCCCCGTTCGTAAAATGTCTGGTCTTTGCTATTAAAAAACTGAATTAGGTGTGATCCGACATCATCCGCGTTTTTAAAAATTTTACCATTTAAAGAGTTTTGCATGGAACGAAACAAATGGTAATCCGAAGGCGCAAGGTGAGGGCTATATGGTGGGTGTGACAAAACATCCCGACCCAGTTCCAATAATTTTTGCCGAGTAACCAAAGATGTGTGAGGCCTTGCGTTATCATGATGGAAAACAACACCCTTCCGCCGATTTGATAATGCCGGCCGCTTATCTTCAATAGCATCCTTCAGTTTTTCGAGTTGTTCAACATACACATTTGAATTTATCGTTTGGTTCTGCAGCATGAGTTCAAAATACAAAATTCCTTTGTGATCCCACCAGACTGACAGCATAATCTTTTTTTGGGGAATCTCTGCTTTTGATACTGTTTGGGCTGGTTGATCTTGCTNAATCACAGATGCTAATCCGTTGCGTCAAATGAATTTCCTTTAACTGGTGAGGGATCCATAAATCAAGTTTCTTGACATAACCAAGGGTTTTTAATTTTTTTTCAATGCATGTATGCGACACATTGAGCTTCTCGTGTTGTGCTGTGACCATTTGAATCGATAATGGCCTTGATATGGGTTTCATCCACTTCGACTGGGCGGCCAGATCGTTGTGAATTTTTCAGTGAAAAATCACTGGAACGAAATCTTTCAAACCAATTTCGACACTGCCTTTCTTTTAAGGCTTCATCTCCATATACGGCACATAACTTCTTTTGTGCTTGCGATGCGTTCTTGCCTTTTCGGAAGTAATACAATAAAATGTGTTGGAAGTGCACGTCCTGTTCTTTCATTTTTAAATTGGGATAAAAACAAAACTAAAGAACTAAACAAAAAAATTTTTTACTAATTAACCTAGAAGCTCATACAGTAAGAAAAAAATATAGGTTAGATGCTCTGGCCACGTTAACAAAACAAAAGAAAGTATAGAGTGAATCCGTCAACAAAAACGGCAATGACTTAGTTGCCAACCTAATACATGACCTAAGATTACCCCTTTGCTTATACCATCTAACGGATCCTTAATAACTTAATGCAGTTCAAATGAATATCTTCTAGAGCAAATCATCCATTACAACAATGCTGGAAATTAACCGTTAGACTTTACCTTTATTAAGACTTATTAACATGACCAACCATTCAAGCAAATGAACTAATCAAAAAGCTTTGAAATTTGTGGATCTAAATTTGCTCAGGAATTCGAAATCACGTCATGAAAATCGAGCTCTGACAAGAACATTAGAAAGTACATTATACCCCTCAAGGCAAACTAACAGTACCCATTCATCTAAAATTTAAATAGAAGCAGATTTGCGACGACATGAAGGCTTGTAGCTATTCTTCATCTTTATTTCGGACATTTCAGAGGCATCCTTTGATTAAATTTTCCGTATTTTTTCCTTTTCCATGTTAAATAATAATAATAATAATAGTAAAGAAAAAAAACTGACTTTCATACACCAAACTGACCTAACATTATCACTGGCAATAATTTGATCATTTCCCTATTTTGTCAAGAATTAACGGCCAACTGTCGGCGCAGTTTAAACAATAGTCTTGAGATCTACTCTCATCTAGTCAGCTCATCCGTACTTGAAGAATGGCGCCGGACAGAAGTGCTAGGTCAGTTGGACAGTGTGGCGTCCGCTCTCTTGCGAATTCAAATGCTTGCCGAAGAATTGCGACCACACATCAAGGATGTTAATGAGGAAGACCTTGCTTCAGCTTTGGAACGTGAAATGCAACATACTGCTGAGTTAATTGCTCGTGCTGAAGCTAGATTCAACGTGAATAATCCTATTCCTCTTACTCCTTATCTCGAATGACTTCTTGATAACGAATTTTCTATTGTCAGGAACTTCTGGAGCAATCAAAGACATCTATGACTGGAATTCAGCTGGAAGTTCACAGCAAGATTTTGGGCACTTGTACAGAGCTCATGTCTGCTATTGCTCTTCTTGTTGCTAGGGCACGGGAACTACAATTGGAGATTGTGAATGAGGGTAGAGTATGTTGGTTATTCAAATATATTGAATAAAAAGACTTAAAAATCGCGACTCCCATTAGTATCCTTAACTTTTAGGGGGCGGCAACGATCAAGGAATTCTATAAGCGCCATAATCGATGGACTGAAGGTCTTTTCTCAGCTGCGAAATCCGTTGGTGCTGGGGCCAACTTGCTAGTGTAAGTATCGCATTTACTCTTGCTCCGTTAGAAGCAAGACGTGCAAATGTTGTGATACTAAATAGTGAAAATTTACGTACTCATTCCATGAACGTAATCACCGTCTCAAGTAGAGAAATAAAACTAGAGTGAAAACACGTTGCACGTTGAGATATGTGCTCAAATTTCCACATTCCGTGTAGAATATTTAACTGGGAGTTCGGTCATTTACATCCACTTGACCATGTCAGAAGTTGCACTCAATTACCTATCTTTTTATGTTAATTTTGTCGTAGGAATCGTTTATAAATAGCACTCAGTTGACTATTTCAAGTCAAAATTTCTATTCCTTTGAGGTAGAGAATCCGCTGACGATATCGTTTCCAATAAAACCGGCCGACTAGAGCGTTTGACAGTTGCAGCATTAGAGATTTCAAGTTCCACAACCCAATTACTTGTAGCCAGTCGAATAAAAGCAAGCGAGAATTCACTATGCCTCAATAGCCTTGAAATCGCTGCCAAAAATGTTTCCAGAGTTACCGGAGAAGTTGTAGCGGAAGTTCAAAATGCGTCAACTGTTAGTGAGCAGTCGCGTAAGTTGTACTCTAAAAAGCCATTTTTTATGAAAGATTTCTTTATTCATTATGTCATTTAGACTAGCGAGAATTCAGCTATATGTAAGAGCATTTATTTATATCAAATGGCAGGCTTTTTGATAGTTATCATTTTGGGCTTCACTGAGGGGAGGAACATCAAGGTGGGAAAAGTAGAGAGGGGGAACGGAGGAGTGATTCACGGATGTAAAAGAGACAGACAAACACAAATGCAGAGAAAAGGTATGGTGAGTACAATGGAAGTGATCGAATATGACATACAGTGGGGTCATGGTGGTTTGAAGTTAGAAGTGAATTAACATTTTATAGAATTTTTTTGCCGTAGGAGTAACTTTTGCCCAGGGTGCACCACGTAAAGGTAAGTCTACCGCACACTCCATATGTAAGAGCATAGTTTGGTGGAAAGGTGGGGAAATTGGATCTACCAAAACTGAATTTTATAAATATCTTGTTCCCATCTCTGAGGAATGTGCTTTTTTGTTATACATAATTTTTCGTAAGTACTTGGTTTAAATCTTGTGTCAAATTTGAAGATGCTATTATTTATTTATATCAAATGGCAGGCGTTTTGATGGTTATCATTAGCCCTTTAGTTGACTTCAGGCTTCACAGAAGGGAAGGAACATCAAAGTGAAAAAAAGTCGAGAGGAGGGGAACAGAAGAATGTTTCAAAGACGAAGGTTGAAAATTTAGAAAAATGTGATGTATTACTGTGGAAGTGGTCGAATATGACATACACTTGGGTCAGAGGTCAACTGCCGGTTAATACACTTTTTTGCCGGATGGGTATACGTTACCCAGAGTGCTCCACGTGGAGGTAAGTCTATCGCACACCCCAGATGCTATTATAACACGGGTCGCTTTAATCACTAGTATTTTAATAAAATTAGTCTAAACGATGCTTTTAGAGGATTCCCACGCTAATAAGTCCTGACCTAAGCTCAGTAATTTCTCTAGCAGGATCTTCTAGTTCGTAAGGGTTCTCAGAATTAAGGAAGCTACCACAATGCTATAGAAGGGACTAATGTATTGTGTGTGAACAC